CCAGGTGGGGCCTCCTGGCGGCCCGGGCAGTGTCGGCTGGAAACACCAGTCCCGGTAAGTGCCAACTAGGTGAGAGCTGAGCGAGCTCCAGCTGCGCTCACCTTGTTCTGAGCCTGCAGAGCCTCTGCCTGGGCCAGGGGGCTGCCCTAGAGCTGCAGCTCCAGACACACACACACACAAGCAACTAACTTTGCATTAGGACAGGGCTACTCGACATGGGGCCGGTCTGTTTGCGGCCTGCGGCGCAGTGCGGGTTTACGGGGGGCCCTCAACATGCACCCCGCAAGTGGGAGCCAAAACAAAAAAAGGAGTCATTAGCATGGGCTGGTGCTATGCGTTTTAGTAGTTCAATTCCAGGACTGTCCCAGCTCATTAAAAGTGCTGCTCTAGGGGTGGAATGGGGCAAATATTGCATTTTATGAATATCAGCAGCACTGACTTAAATGGGGCCTGTGTGTTGTGTAGTCTTGCCTTAGTCTTTGTATTCATGCCCGTCAGTGTGAAAGAAGCTATTTGCACGTACATGCAACCACACGTAGGTTGCAGCCCTCTGCACCTGCTGTGAGTATCATTGTGGCTCCCAGAGGTTCCAAAGTTGAGTAGCCCTGCTCTAGGAGAAGACATTGTGGGCAAAACAAAAGGGGTCCAGGAAGTACTTGAAATGTACTTAACTCATGTTAATGTACTTAACTTAACCCTCTAACTAGCAACTTCGCCCCTGCTTTTCTTCTTGCTCTGAGGCATGGGGTAGGAATTTGGGGATAGTCAATTACATCTCCGCCTTTCCTATCCCCCTGGGCATTTGTGCTGCTAGCGAATAGGACAGGTAGAACCGAACCTGTGTCCTTCTCTGCCTACCTGATTGTGGCAGGGAGTAAGTGGGTACACAGTACCTGTCTGTTTCTTTCTGCCTGGTTCAAAGCTCAGGGGTAGCTCTCTCAGGTTTATAAGGGGAGGTTTACTATCCCTTACTTCCTCATAGAGCTGTGTAAACCAGATTACAACAGGTGCATGGACCCACGAGCAGAGCCGGCTCTAGGTTTTTTGCCACCCCAAGCAAAAAAAATTTTTGGCCACCCGCTACTCCTTTTTGGTTGGCTTTTACATGTTTTCACTGTGCAATGTTTGTTTTGACAGTTTAAAATTACAAAAACAATAAAAACAAAATTTGTAGTTAGTGAAATAAAACAATTTGCTACTAGTGTACTCTTAATTTTAACAAAATCATAATTACAAACCATTTGGGTTCAACTATATACTGTAATGAAAAACATTAGTGTCTTCCAGCGTGCCCAGTTTCTTAAATTAAAAGAATTTATATGAACTGAATTTTCTGGGTATTATGCTTGCGTAGCCTTTTAATAATTCAGTAAAATCTAAATTTTTTGCAATGGTACTTTCAATTGAAATTAATGTGAATCCTGACAAATGATTTTAAGACATGGCAGACCTCCGCTACTCCTTTTTGGTTGGCTTTTACATGTTTTCACTGTGCAATGTTTGTTTTGACAGTTTAAAATTACAAAAACAATAAAAACAAAATTTGTAGTTAGTGAAATAAAACAATTTGCTACTAGTGTACTCTTAATTTTAACAAAATCATAATTACAAACAATTTGGGTTCAACTATATACTGTAATGAAAAACATTAGTGTCTTCCAGCGTGCCCAGTTTCTTAAATTAAAAGAATTTATATGAACTGAATTTTCTGGGTATTATGCTTGCGTAGCCTTTTAATAATTCAGTAAAATCTAAATTTTTTGCAATGGTACTTTCAATTGAAATTAATGTGAATCCTGACAAATGATTTTAAGACATGGCAGACCTCAAATAATTTTTTAGTAATTTCAGTTTTGAGAAACTGCGCTCACCAGAAGTCACTGATACTGGTAATGTTAAAAGAATGCGTAATGCTATAGCAGTGTTTGGAGTGAAAAAATAATTTCTTGCTATAAATTCTAATATGCCTCACTCTGCCCCTGCTGCTGGGGGCCAGTACCTGGAGGCTGACCCCTCCTGACAAATTCCCTCGGGGTCTTGCGCGGGAGGTTGCTGATGAAGACAGGGAAGTAGCTGGCCTCCCAGAGGCAGCCTGATGAAGACGGGGAAGTAGCTGGCCTCCCAGAGGCAGCTCAGGCTGGGCTGGCCCCGTGTCTGCAGTAGGAGCTGGGGCAGGCGGTGGGGCTGCTCCACCAGTACCTACAGCTTCTCCAGGGCCTTGTCCAGAGTGGTCCGCATGGCCGTGCCCAGACTGCAGACTGCGCTTCCTCCACCGGGGCCATCCCCCCGCGAACCCACCCCGGCTCCCCGCAGGCAGGGCTGACCCGGACCCCCCTGCAGCCATCATGGCCCTGGCCGGAGGGGAGACTGCACTTCCTGCACCAGGGCCATCCCCCCACAAACCTGCCCCTGTTCCCCGCAGGCAGGGCTGACCCGAAGTAGGCGGCGGAGCCAGGCAGCAGCAGGAGGCAGAGGGCGGCCAGCAGGCTCCGGGTGCACGTGGTGCCAGCGCTGCGCAGCAGGTAGTGGCGTCTCCCGCAGCCCCTTAAAATAGGTGGGGCGGGGCGAGGGCGGGCATTGCCGGGGGCAGCTGACCCCTGGAAATGCGCTGCCCCAAGCACGTGCTTGATTTGCTGGTGCCTAGAGCCGGCCCTGCCCATGAGGATGACAAAGGTGCTGTTGAGGGAGACTAGAAAAATCACTGGTGCCTGCTGCCATGACGACGTTACAAATCTTGCCATATTTGGTGTTTTTCTTAATGCTACAACTGCTGGGATTATAGAATCTCAGCTGTCATTTAAAAACTCCACATAGTACATTTCTAGCCCTTGCTTTGGGAGAGAAAAGCTTGGAAACCATATGTAAGCATTCCATAAAGGCTCAGAAAGCAGGTGGTGAATAAAAAGAACCCCAAAGAAATTAATGCCCTTTATAAGATGCTTCAACTCCAAAGAGATTCAGATATTTCTGAAACTTCAATACAGCATTCTCCTCTTCCCCCACTCTTACTGCCCCCACACTGGACTACGTTTAAATTGTGGGAGTACAACACGGAGTTGTTTTATGAGCAGAAGCAATATAGCAAGTAACCCGATGCGGTTTTGATTTTTTACTTCTTCTTACAGCAGGGAAGCATTTAATTAGTATTAATGAGGCAAGCACAGAGGAAATCAAGTGTTATTTCATCATGGATATTTTAAATGAGTTTTGCATATTGCTTGTAATTTGCATTATTAACATTTACAACAGTGGAACAAAATTATGTCTTAATTTTGGCTTTAACGATGCATTTTGTTAATGCTATGCCTCTTGCTTGCAGAGATGGAGCTAACTGCTGGAGTGAAAGGCAGGAAGAAGAGGTGACTGTCAGATTGCAGCCGTTGCTAACTTTTTCTTTAAAGGCAAATGGGAATTTTGCCTGACAAGTGAATGAGCAGCTCAATCGATGCATGTTGTCCCAAAAGTGTTTTGGAAAGGATGCAGAATATGTAATAGCTGCAAAATCAATCCAGTTGTCAGCTAAGGGAAGGGCTTTTGTTATTACTTAATTGATATTTTCCCACCCCTGATTCCTCCAAAGCTTCTTCCTGCTTTTGGTGCTCCATAGTTTTGGAAGAGAAGCAGCACTGGACATCTTAAAGGGCAAGATACTGCTAATTTGCAAAAAGC